CCACACACACACAGCCTTTTTCTACTTAATACCAAGCTTTTGTGAGCTGTATGGTTCGAACTTATGCCTTGCTTGTAACCCACATATCATGTGCTGCCTCTCCTTAGAGTACACTAGCCAAAAGGTATCATCTGCCAAATCCAATATTCCTGCTGTCGCTATTTATGTGATGCACTTTCCTATTTAGTCTGCCCCAAAAAACGATACTTTTCTATATTGAGAAAGGTAAAAATTAGATATAAAACTCATTAGCACAAACATTGTGCTAAGAGGAGGATCAAAGTTACAGTCCAAACAAAAAGAGCAAAAAACGAAAAAAATGATACTTTTCGCCTTGGTGTATAGCGTAACCTGGTACCTGTTGCTGGTGGGAGATAACAGTTATCCCGTAGAATTAGTCGAGTTGTGCGCAAACTGGTCCGGATACCACGCTTGTCAAAAAAATGATACCTTTCTATATTTTTAGAAAAAGTTATAACTTTAAACTTCTAAGTTTACCCCTAATAATATGATTTATAACCACCCAAATATCTATGGCTCCTTTTAGACCATAATTTTCAAAAGTATTTCTTCTTCTCGTAGAAATACAGTATAAGTTTGCGTACAATATACCCTGTGGTCCTGTGGTCCGGCCCTTCCACGTCACGCATAGTCACGCACAGGGGAGCTTAGTGCACCGGAATGCCTTTTTTTTCTTTGTTCCTGAGATACCGTGCTGAATCAAACATCATCACATAAAAGGGTACCCCAAACATCAATTCAGAGACACTCAAGTAACTAGCTGGGAAAGTGAGGGGTGAGGTAAAAAAAAAAAAAAGGATTTTTACAATTTAAGATTAACATATTTTCTCGTCTGTTTACTGTATGCCCAACTACTCGAGCTCATTGCTCAAAGCCTTAATAGATATTTTTACCAAATACTGTGTTGCAGGCTGTAACATTCACTGTACGGTTTGGGCAAGCTACCCGGACACCAATCACACTACAGTCCTAAAAAAAAAGTACTAATTTATAAGAAAAAATTCCACAAAATACAGATTAATTGGAAGTCAAACTCAAACCTCAGGCATAATAACAAATTCATTGCATGATTTGAACGATAGAAAATAAAAGGAGAAAATTAGGGCTTTTTATTTTTGGTGGCTTTACCTGAATCTCGTAAAGAAAAATGAAGAGCCGGAGATTACAAGACGAACAAGTAAGCACTTTAAGTTACTTTTTTGTCGTAACGTATATGAAAATTTAAGTATTGTAATACTATATAATTCCTTGTCTCCTTGTAACAAAATGGCCTCGAAATTTGGATCTCAACTTAATTTGATCTTTACATAGAACTTTTATATTTGGTTGAAGTTAACAAACAAACAAAAAAGGTATCTGAAGTTAAAATATTAAAAAAAATATATTTAATATATATCTATCTATCTATATCTATATATATACTAATCATATTAGAGATAGCACGTGATGAGCATGGGTCCAATAACACTGTGGTTAAAGCAGAAGATTTTCACAAAAAAATTGAGGTCACCCAAATAGTCGTCAATCCAATTACTTAAACTAAAAATAGATGGTGAATGTATAATATAAGCATAATTGATATATTATATGTGTATAATTATATATTTAATGTATAATCTATCTATATGGTTAGAAAAAGTAAATAGTAAATATGACCGGCTATTTGTGTAAAGATCCTTATTTATAAATTTGAGCTATTGCTCCAAAATATTATAAATTTTGGGTCTACATTTGTCATTGCTATTATCATAAGTATGTGTTGTGATCTACATCTTGCGGCGATACTATTACAATTTTTCTTTGGAAACTATAGAATGTGGTCTATATTTTCTAATACTATTGTAAATTTTCTTTGGCAATTATTTACCGTGGTCTACATTTTATGATATTGCTATAAAAAGTTTCAGGAACCATTTTTTGGAGTATAATTAAATAATTTTGATATTGATGTCTTGGTTTGTTTAACTTAACTACCAAATAGAGAAATATTAATTTCGAACAAAAATAGTGGTGTATGCACAAAAATGAAAGCGTGAGATTTGAAAATATAATTTGTTGTTGGAATGCATACATTTTAGTTTGAGAAATTACATTAATCAAAAAAAAAATGGAAAATTTTTTGATTGTGCACATAATTGATTCCCGGTAGTACTCGACAAAACGACACAGTTAACTGACTTTATTATTTTTAATTATCTTAAATTTAGTGAGGTCAATAGAATATTGGTCAAACTAAGCTAAGGTACATAATTTTAATATTTTCACTTTTTCTTTTATTATTCCTTAAATATGCGCTAAAAAGAAAAAGTTGAAACTTGCAAATTGTCTCTATTTTAAATAGCTTTTGAGATTTTTTTTTTTTATTATTCTTTCTTTCATTCATCATGGACTTAAGGAAAATTAAAAGAGAAAGTAACAGTTCTTAAACATGCATTTTTGGCCAAGTAACACTTCTTATACAAGCATCTTTTTCCCCTAGGCGTTGCTCTTTTCTAGTTACGTTGTGAAGTAGTTGTAATTTTGATATAAATTTATGGCAGGTTAAAATTATCTGAATGTTAAGTTGCAAGTTAGTGTTTATTTATTTCAAAAATCATGCAGGTATTACTTCTGTTTACCCGACAAACGGATAGAGTTGAATTTGTACGTAGTTCTAAGGATATGTGATGTAGCTTAATACAAATCGTAAGGATAAATAGAATCAAGTATGGATTGCAAAGAATGCAAAATAGACACGGTTGTAAAGAAGATGAAATTTAGGACTAAACAAGTGGAATCAAATTAAGAAGCTTGAAATAACAACTCTTCACTATAGGAGAATATGATGCTTGAATTATAATGTTAGCAAAAACTTGTCTCTACAGAATTGATATCCATCTCCTTTATAGTAGAGGGATTTCACTTTAGATATAAAAAAATACGTAGTGAGAGACCCATGATAAATTAGTTTTCCCACAATTCCTCACAAGATTCTCTCCTCTAGTGGGATTGCAACGGATCTTGTCTATGAGCTTGATATTGACTCGAGTTTTTCGGTCCTGACTCGAGCTCTCGATCTTGGCTTGAGCTCGATTCTGACTCGAACCCTTGAATTGATTCGGGGTCAATGTTGGTCGATCTCTGGATCACAAGTTCGACAACTTTACTTTGCATCATAGTTCGATTTGGATTCGAGCTTGATAATAATATCGAGCTCGACATTGATCGGCCCCTCAAACTCGAAGCTTGTTTGTACCATCTTCGGAACCCATCTCGAAGTCTTACTTCGATCGATTATGTTTCGAACTCGATCAATCATACGAAGGCCAAAATCTATTTCGACCGTATACAGATAGTCCCCTCGTTTCTCAGGAAAAATGTGGTGAGAAACGATACGATTTTTCAACGGCTCGATCGGATAATAAGTTGACATTTACATTGTGCTCGACCATGACGCACGTGATAGATGTTCCGTCGATTTAGTCTTTCAAGATATTTAATGCATGTCAGACGGTGGTCGGCCACTGCTGATACTGAACCGCCATTAATTAAACCTATAAATAACTCTTCCTTTAATCATTTATCACTTTTACATCTTCAACCTTCCAAATTTCCCAATTTCTTTTTTGTATTCTCTGAGTTTATACGCAAATTTGTGATTCCTCTTTGCAAAATTCTTCTTCCAAATTACCAAATCTTTGTCACTTTCTTTAAATCCAAAATGGTGAAGACATCCAAAACCGTCCCCCAAAAAGAAAAAGCTTCTTCTTCCCAATCCGCCGCCGATAAAACACCGGTGGATCCTCGTCTTGAGGAGTGCGTTCCGGCGGCGTGTGTTCTTACCTCTGATTTCAAACTTGATAAAGGTTCGCCGGTGTCACACCTCCTTTTTCCCGATGGGGCGATGGGATTAGGGAGTTTTTCCAATTAAAGTGACAATATTCGAAATAGGATTATTTATTTATTTCAGAGTCGCCACTTGGAATAATTTATGGTGTCCCAAGTCACCGATGTATTTTAAATCCCAAATCGAGGAAATTTGACTCTATTTATGATCCGCGAACACAGAAGACCGGGTAAGAAATTCTGTTAACCCGGAAGAAGGTGTGAAGCACTCCCGAGTTTCGTAGTTTTAGCACGGTCGCTTAACAATCAATACTTGGCCTAATTGTCTGATTTATTACATATTTAA